CGCAAATATCTCCGCCAAACCTGCACATTGGCAGATAGTTACATTTGCAAATTTCATACTAATTAAATTTGTGATCCATTGACACTATGGTCGAGGCATAATAATTAAGCACATTTTAAATTATATCTTGCTGAGAGGCTTATTGGCCGATCTTGTAATGCTTAACAGCATAGCAAATTTGAAATTCGAATTACTTTCTCAATTGTTGAACAATTTTCAAAATTCCGCCTGTTTTGGAAACCTTCGGTCAAACGGCGAAACATATATTCCCAGATTTTTTAAATTCGATCACGCCCCCTGGCAATTAAGGTCATAAGTTCAAAGACACACGTAAAATAAAAATAATTCTTAAAGCCGAATTTCAAAATATAAAAATCGAATTGCATGTCGAAAAAATAACCCGACACTCAGGTCACTATTAAAAATTTTCAAATAGTCACATTGCCACCCCCAGTGGGTGTGGTTCTCGGCGACTTTTCGATTGTATCCAAAACATGGGTTGTGACATATCATTTTTCTTAGCCCGGCGAGGAGATTACGATTGAGTAAGTAAAATTTTGTAACCACACCCCCAGGGGGTTTGGTTCTCGGCGCCTTTTCGATCTAAATGGAAACATGTCATGTGACATATTATTTTCCTCAGCCGGATGAGGGGATCTCAACGGGATTATAAAAATTAGAAACCACACCCCCAGTGGGTGTGACCTTTTGCACTTTTTAGATTTTATCCAAACCATGTCATGTGACACATCATTTTCCTCAGTCGGATGAGGGGATCTCAACGGGATTATAAAAATTAGAAACCACACCCCCAGTGGGTGTGGCTCATATCTACTTTTCGATTGAAACGTAACAACGCAATGTTATATATCATTTTATTATTCAAAATCCAAGAGATCCATATTTGATAATTCGTCCGAATGCGCACAATTTAAAACCTGCAGAATTTTGTAGCACATTTGAATTTTATCAAATCGAGATTTCTCAAAATGTCATTTATATGTTCCCCTGATTTGAAAAATTCAGCAACGTGCTTGCTAGGATAAAACGACTTCTTACTTAACCTATTTTGTATTTAGCAAATTGCAATATTGCAGTGGTCGTACTCACGACAACATCTTATTTCTCATCGCAACTCATTTAGCAAACTTGCGAAGCTAAGAAAGTTTTTTTGGTTACGGGGATTCGCAAAATATGACTTCGCAAATCTTTCTACAAACACCTATTTTGGTGTTGTTTCCATTGATTTATGGCTAGTAATGCTGAACATGAGTTTGCGAAATAACTTTGCGAAATAAGAACTTCCCCATTTGCTGGGTAAATTTACGAAGAAAAATCCCATGGTTTTCCAGCAAAAGTTTTGCGAAGTCTCGCAAATTTCGCAAAACTTCGCAAGTTATGTTGTTATGCTCAATTTGCGAAATAAGGGTTTTACCGGTACATCTATATCTGCATATGCGAGATGTGCGAAGGCTGACGTGAGTACGCTCAGTATTATTTGCCCTTAAAAGATTTTTGTGCATTTTCATGCACTTCTTGGAATTTTTGGTCGATATTACTAACCGTTAAAAAACATTTTTATGCACTAATTTCGTGCAGGTAGTAATTAACAGCAATCGAAAAAGCACCAAAGGTCACACCCACAAGGGGTGTGGTTTCTAATTTTTAGCCCGAGTCAGGGCCTATGTTCCCGTCACGTCCGTCTGTCTGTCTGTCTGTCTTGCGATACCTGTCGTAAAGCTAATTAAATCAACTTGAAATTTGGCACACATGTAGTATGGGGCAAATGAGGAGTTAAGTTCGAAGATGGGTAAAATCGGTTGAGTAGTTGACCGGTGAGGGTCATATAGGTGGGTGGGGTGTTATGCACTAAAATCTCAATATAGTGCTAGAATGCTGAAATTTGGTACAGAGGTTGGCAATGGGTCCTAATGGAAGAATAAGAATTCAAATTGGAAAAATCTTTGTCCGGAGGGACCCTTTTGGGTGACCCATACGGATTTTTTAAATTGTCGTAGGAAGTTGAAATTTGACATTGGGATGGCCAGTGGGCAATAGTGGAAGAACATGAAGTGAAATTGGGCAAATTTTTACTTGACGGGACCCTTTGGTGTGCCCCATAACTATTTCTAGGAATTGTCGTAAAAAGCTGAAATTCAGCACGGCGATACTTTACGGCTTCGCATAAACGAATTTAAAACTAAAAGTGACCAAAGTGCATTGCAAGCGAGCCACACTGGTCCTTGTAGTCAGGGGGAGAAGATTTTGGAAATTATAATACAATTTTGGGAAATAATAGAAAATCTTTAACAAACAATCACGGGAAGGGTGTGACAAAAGTCCGAAGTCCGATCAATAGACAAACATGACAAATGCCAAAGATTTAGAAGTGGACTCTGTCCCGGACTCGGGCTATATCAAGTCTGCAATGGAGGTTTTATAATTCCGTTGAGATCCCCTCATCCGGCTGAGGAAAATGATGTGTCACATGACATGGTTTGGATAAAATCTAAAAAGTGCAAAAGGTCACACCCACTGGGGGTGCGGTTTCTAATTTTTATAATTCCGTTGAGTTCCCCTCTTTAGGCTGAGAAAAATAATATGTCACATGACATGTTTCCATTTAGATCGAATAGGCGCCGAGAACCAAACCCCCTGGAGGTGTGGTTTCAAAATTTTACTTACTCAATCGTAATCTCCTCGCCGGGCTAAGAAAAATGATATGTCACAACCCATGTTTTGGATACAATCGAAAAGTCGCCGAGAACCACACCCACTGGGGGTGGCCATGTGACCACTTGAAAATTGTTAATAGTGAACTGGGTGTCGGGTTATTTTTTCGACATGCAATTCGATTTTTATATTTTGAAATTCGGCTTTAAGAATTATTTTTATTTTATGTGTGTTTTTGAACTTATGACCTTAATTGCCAGGGGGCGTGGTCGAATTTAAAAATTCTGGGAATATATGTTTCGCCGTTTGACCAAAGGTTTCCAAAACAGGCGGAATTTTGAAAATCGGTCAACAATTGAGAAGGTAATTCGAATTTCAAATTTGCTATGCTGTTAAGCATTACAAGATCGGCCAATAAGCCTCTCAGCAAGAAATGTGCTTAATTTTAATTCCTCGACCATAATAATGCGCCGACTTGTTGCATTTTACTGTTGGGTTTATTTTATGCAGTTTCTGGCAACCACGACGTGTCGTATTTTGACCCGAAAATTTTTGGGTCTTAAAATGATTCCAAAATTCTTTACGTATATTATCATGAATATTAGTGTGCAAAAAAGTTGCTACTAATAAATATTTTTAAAAAGTGGGTTAACGTGAATCACTTACGTGATGGATGGTGCATGACCAGCGGCGGCTAACTTTCCTTATGGAAATATCATTATGCGCCATCCATCACGTAAGTGATTCACGTTAACCCACTTTTTAAAAATATTTATTAGTAGCAACTTTTTTGCACACTAATATTCATGATAATATACGTAAAGAATTTTGGAATCATTTTAAGACCCAAAAATTTTCGGGTCAAAATACGACACGTCGTGGTTGCCAGAAACTGCATGCCGCGCAAGTGTTTACCCAAAGTAAAAATAAACCCAACAGTACCATGAAAATATTTTACCATTGTTAAATTTTACCAATTGTTACCACCCTGGACCACCCTTGGTTCGCTACTGAGCCGTCTTGCATTCATGCTCAACTACCAAATTTATTTTTATAAATAACCTCTAGTACAGCTTCACGGAGCCCGACCCAGGAATTCTTAAACCACCTCTTGATATCAATTTATATGCCTCCATTCCAACATAACCGCATACATTACGACATTATCACAATAATTTCAATAATTTTGAAATTTTGGTGCAGAATACCCCACCCACTCGGATGACCCCCACCGGTCAACCACTTGACCGATTTCGCCCATCTTCGAACTTAACTCCTCATTTGTCCCATACTACATGTGTGCCAAATTTGAAGTCGATAGGATGAGTTTAAAGAGAGTTATCGCAAGACAGACGGACAGACAGACAGACAGACTGACAGACAGACAGACAGACATCACGGGTACATAAGCCCTGGGTCGGGCTAAAAAGTTGAAACTATTTAAATTTCTCAAATTTGAATTCAAATTTCTCAGATGTATAACCACGAAAAAAATTGTAATTCATAAATGCATTTTACTTCCACATAATTTAATTTGTAAAAAGAGGTTTACTGTTGAATCCTTTTTCATAATTTTATGAATGTCAATTTAAATATAGATTGCAAGAAAAACTCTGCTTAAAGATTTTATTAATTGGATTCATTCCATGCAACTCAAATGTATTCAACGATTCACAAACTAACCGCCAGTTAACTCTTCCACTGATAAATAGTATGTAAAAAATACATTATTCCAACCAGGGTTGCAGAAATCTCATCTCACCTTCACAAATCTCATCTCCGTGAGATATAATGAGAAATGGTGAGACATGAGAAATATGAGATATAGTGAGATTTGTGAGCCATCCTCTAGCGCCACCTAGCGGACGGGGTCATGAACTACAAGTTTAGCTCATTATTTCGCATATTTCTCACTCAGCCCCAACTGAGATGATTGATATAAATCATTAAATCTCACTAAATCTCACCAGGTGATATAAATCACTTGCAACCCTGATTCCAACTACTTATTTATACAAAGCAGACTTTTAAAATAAAACGTTAAATGTCTGAATGATCGACACTCAAGCTTACTAAAAGGTTGACCTGTTGGCTCCCATTCCTGGAAAGGAAGGTATGTAGTCGACCTTTTCGGAACGCCAAAAAAAGGTAGACATATATATTGGGTCAAAAGCCAGTATGTGTGGTTATATATTTGTAGATACGCACATATAGTGAGAGGAATACCACGCCATATACACCTCAATTCGTTTGACTATAATTGAACTGTAGAATTTGGATGAAAAACTTATAATTCTATTCAGTCCAACTTTTGTTACCCAGCCTTTCACATCCTCACCAGCTACATACATAGTCTCCCATCACACGAATAAAATTTATTCACAGATTAAGAAATCGAGCACGAATTAATCTTTAAAAAGTTTGAATAACTTAAAATGCCACTCCCAACGGCCTACAGCAGTTGCTACTTCTGCCATAAAACCTTGTCAGCAAAAACATCCCCGTCCATTTTTAAATTAAGCAACCATATTCGCCTCCACACGAAAGAAAGTCCATTTACCTGTCCATTTCCCGACATTTGTAGAATGTCGTTTAAAACCCAGAAAAAACTCACAGTTCACAAATCCCAGCATGAAAATGGTGGCCAAAAACCCTGGAAGTGTGACCAGTGTGAAGGATCTTTTAAAACCAAAAGCGCTTTAGCAAGTCACGTAATAGACATGCATACAACCGAACGACCCTTCAAGTGTACCCTTTGTCCCGCCTCGTACAAGCGGGTAACCCTTTTGAAGCTTCACTTAAAGGATCACGATCCCTTTAACAGATACAGTTGCACAAATTGTGAGCTATTGTTCAAAACTGAAAAAACTTTGAAATCTCATCTCGTCAATAAACATGGCGGGAGAGATTGGAAGTGTTACTTTTGTAAGAAAACCTTCACTCAAGTTGGACTGATTCATCACATCAGGATTCACACGGAGGAGGCTGTTTTCAAGTGTAGAACCTGTCCGCGTGCATTTCTTCATTATTCGACCAGATTCCAACATGAAGAAAAGGAACATGGCGAAAGAAGAGACGAACCAGGGCTGCCCACGTGGAAATGCAAGTTCTGTCCAAACGCTTATATCAAAAAACAAGGTCTACTTTACCATCTTGGAAACAAACATGGGGTAAGTTGAAACCTACATATTTATAGAAGAATTTGACTAGATACTAATTAGCAGCAGTAGTTTTAGTAATTAGCCATAATTTTTAAACTTTATGTCTACTTTTATTTTGAGTGCATATGTACATTAGGTATAAATATAGAAAAATTACGAAAATAAGTTTCGAATTTTAAGGAATTTATAAAGTATATAATTAGGAATGTTAAAATATGGAGAAAAGCGAAAATTTTAATTTTATGGGCTTCGTCATGCGGTTTAGATTTAAACCGATGTAAATACCTTTTAAATTCTACCACAATTGAAACCTTTTTCAATTACTTTTTCAATTATTCAAACCAAACAGACCCAAGTGTTTATTTTTAATTATACAAAATTTTCAGGAAACTGACCTCCTACCACCCAGCCTGCGCGGGAAGGAGTGTCCCCTATGCCACAAAATATGTAAAGATACCAATTCCCTCTCCGTCCACACCAGAATCCATACCGGAGAAAAACCCTACACTTGTCCGAGACCAGATTGCGGAAAACAATTCTCCACCTCCAGTTCCCTCAAAGGTCATTCCAAATACCATGCTAACAATCCGGGTGGGCAATTCAAGTGTAGATTTTGTCCGAAATCCTTCCAAACCCCTAAACGCGCCAAATATCACGAAAGCAATGTTCACCCAGAGACTTGGGCAAGACCGAAGAAGTGCTCATCATGCCCCAAACTTTATCCGAGCTATTCATCCCTTGCCCGGCATGAACTAATCCATTTGAAGGAACCCTCCTTCCAATGTGCCCACTGCCCGAAAGCTTTTTTCCGTCAGTCCGAATATTCCAAGCACATGAAACGTTTCCACGAAATGGAGAAAATTAAAAACGAAGTAAAACAGAAGGAGAATTTCACATGTAAAATTTGCTCAAAAGAGTTTCCCAATTTTGGGAAATTCGCCAACCACCAAGAACTTCATTTAGTTGGAAATCATCAATGTCCCAAGTGTCCTTTGAATTTCCAGAACGTTCACTTGCTAAGAAAGCACGAAATAAGGTTTCATTCAGGTCCGAAATATAAATGTTACTTTTGCCTCAAAATTCCGCGGTGGTTTAATACACCGGGAAACCTTAGGGATCACGTGATAACCCACACTCAAGAGTATGAGCGCTTTGGATGTCCAAATTGTGAGAAAAGCTTCAAAAGGCGGCCAAACTTAAAGCACCACATGGAGGTTTGTTGCCCAACCCGGAAAATAAATTCGGCAGACTTTCTCTGTGATAAATGCCCTGAAAAGACGTTTTACTCGAAACACCAACTCTACACCCACACCTACAGAGCACATACGGTGAGGCCATTAATGAATGACCATTTTTCTATTTTATACATATACCAACTACGGCAGTTAGTTTTAAAACCCTTTAATTCGTATGGAGGACAATTGTCGTTTTTTTGGGAATGATTTAATTCGGGAGGAAGACAAAAGTCGTCCTGAAAAATTGTGGTCAAGGTGCGGGAGGAGGACATTCCTCGTTTCCAGAAGGTCATTGATTTTCGCTGCTTTCGCTCAAAAATGGAAAATCTCTGCTCATTTTTTTGGGATATCTCTTATGTCAACTAAATGTTAAATTTGAACATTTTCTTACCAAAAATGAGATATTTTCCAATAAAACGTAATGCTAAATTTTGGATTTTTCAGTTTTACTAAAACTGCTGAATTCCTCCTCCCGACCAAAACATACGTATAATGTGCCCGAATTAATGCATTTTCTAGTTGTTAATCATCCTCCTTAAAGGGTTAAACTTATGTATTTATGTATTTATCGTTAGAAAACCTGGAAGAGAAAGCCATGCCCTTTCTGTGGGCATATCGCGCGGGATAATTATGCCTTAGCTCTTCATCTAAGGACCCATGTTGGAGAGAAACCCTACACGTGTGCCACTTGTGGAATGAGATTTACTCAAAAAACTACATATTCTGTACACCTACGGCGACATGACGATCGAAAAAACGGGGTGAAATTTCCTTGCAAAATTTGTAACAAGCATTTTAGCACAACTGACTCGTTGGCCGGACATACGCGAAGATTCCACTCGGGGAGAGAAATAAAAAACACGTGCTATTTTTGTCCAGTTATCGTCACCAGGAAAGAATCTCTGGAATATCACATGAGAATTCGACACACCTTTGAGAAAGTTATTTCATGCGGGGAATGTCCCACTAGAAGATTTCTTACCACAACAGGATTGAATTATCATCGTCTCAAGCAACATCCATATTTGGTAAGTCACTCTTAAAAATAACGTTGTTTTTTTTGGAAAAGTGACGGCCGTTTTTATCCGATATGAAGTAAACTCTACTAAATCCAGACTAAACATTACTCCTCATCAAATAAGCGTTACTCTGGATTTGGTACCCTTTACTTCATATCGGATAAAAAGGGCCGTTACTTTCCAAAAAAGCAACATTATTTTTAAGCGTCTACGTAAATAAATATTAATCACCAAAATAAAATATGCACAATATACGACTCTCATTCCGTGTGGCTAGCTTTGTACTTATTATGAGATTTTGATATTTTTCGACTTTCAGTGTTTCGAATGCCCGAATTGTGGCAAAAGGTGCAAATCTAAAGGAGAAGCGACAAGTCATTCGTCATTTTGTAATAAAAGGAAATAAAACTAAATTTGGACAAGTATTTTTTAGCTGACCATTATGTGTACAGAATTTTCAGTGTTATTAAATTGTCGAGATTTTTAAGTGTATAATTTCGTTCGTTGTGTTTAAACAAGATTTGCAATTTTATTTTATTTATTTATTTATATTTTTATACTCGTTTACTTTAATACTGTCTGGTTTAAGTAACTTTTCTGTGTACCAACACTAACACTACATCGACATGAAAGTCAGGCTGATTGGTTACAGATATTTCAAATTTATTTGCAGAACTAAATTTATCAACCTTTTTTAAATGATATAGTTTTCACAGTTTTTTTCAATAGTCTTTGTAATATTACTTTTAACCAAAATTGTATTATAGATTTTAGTTGTCAATATATACATAAATATTTGTCAATAATGTACATCCGAATCAGCCAGTTACATATATGTACACTCTTAAAACTCCGGTAACAAAGTATTACCGGGCGGAGTATCTATGTGACTCTACCGCAACAGTAATAAATTGGTTACTGATTGGTAGAAAATTTGTTACCAAACTGGTAATATTTTCAAATATCGCGGTTTGATTTATTACCAGTGTGGTAGTAAATTTACTACCAGCCGAAAACAAATTTCTTACCGTGGCAGTAGAGTCACATAGATACTCCGGCCGGTAATACTTTGTTACCGGAGTTTTAAGAGTATACTCGTATGTAGGTTGAAATTTAATTTTTCTCTTTAGCTAGTAAACATATTCAGGTAAAATGTTACCTGCCCGTTACTTTCGAACCCAGGATGAATTGAGTCCGGTGCGACCGTTGCTGGGTCGACGAAAGATTGTTCAATCATTTATTTTGCAATTTAGGGCATTTCATAAATTAGTATAAATGGAGCACGAGTCAGGTTCAGTTGTGATTTGATAAATTCGATATCAAGTGTATTATTTATTTTGATGCATATTTTGATGCATTGTAATTAAGTAGTATTTAATTTAGTGGAAATTTCAAATGGTTATTTAATTTGCAAATTTGGAATAAAATAGTTCATTATTTAAAAGCATTTTGTGCAAATTTCTGGAATTATGCGGACAAACAGACAGGCATCAAAGAGGTCAGTATTTAATATCCAGCAATTAAAAATAATTCAAAAGTTAATATCTCTCTCTGTGTG